AGGGACTGAAGAGAGCGGTAGAATGTAAGAAAGGGAAGCCATTTGTCATCAAATTTATTGGCTGAATATCAGATCTTTTCCAACTTCTGAAAAGACATGGCGTCATTGAGCCACTGGGTACTGGGGGGGGTATAGTCGACTCCCAGTGTAAAAGAAGGTGGCGTCTTGCCAGTAATGAAGTAAATGCTAAGATATCTAATTGGTTAGAAGTAAACCGCTTTGTGGTCCTCTGGGAGCCCAAATATGGCAATGCGGGGGAGACTTTAATAACCACAGAAAGTAATTTTGACATGGTATCAAAGTTATTCAACCAAAAGCAAGAAAGTAGTGGACAAGAATACAATATATGGGATAAATTGCAGGGTGAGACAGGACATTTGCTGCATATGTCGGTGATGTTGGTATACATTTGGGATAGTTGAGTTTTAGAAAAATGGACTCTAAACCGTATTTTAAACTGAGCAAGTGTAAGACGGGCACAGAATGAACCTAAATAAATTGTCTTAAAAGCAGTGTCCCACCAATCATCCTCCAAGTTTAAGTCCAATTCCTTGATCCAGGCATCTCTAACTTTAGTAATTGGCGAGCAGTCAAAAGATAGAAGTTCATTACAAATTTTAGAAATGAGAATTTTGAAGTGGGTCATGATTTAATAGCTCCTCCCACTGTTGAGTTGGCGGTGAGAAGCGGAACAGAGGAAACAAAATTTTAGCACAATGTCTAAATTGAAAGTATTGGTAAAACTCTTCTGAGATATCTGCAAAGCTGTGAAAAATATCTTTTTCTAAGAACTTAAAACACTTCAGGCCTTTAATATTCCATGTTAGGGAGGGTGGATCTGTAAATGAAGGCTGTAATAAATGATTTTTTAGTGTAGGGGTTAAAGTGAATATACTGACTTAAATTTAAAGGGGCCTCCTAAATTAATACCAAATTTAGTGTGGAAAGGACTGCTTGACTGTTGGTAAAACCAGAGAGGTTGGAGAGGATAGTGGATGTAAGTAGGGAAGATAAGGAGGATGAACTTGACTGTGCGTCCAAGTTGCACCACGACAGGTTCATAGATTTAAACCAGAACGAGATTTTATGAATGTGAGCTTCCCAATAATAGAATTGGAAATTTGGAAGTGATACTCCACCATTCAACTTACATCAACTTACATCAAAAGAGGGAGGCAGTGAAATTAAAACAAATTTGGGCTAAATATTCATTTTGGAAAGACTAGTCTTTGGGAAGAGTTCAATAAGGTGACCGCTGTAGGAAAGAAGTGGTTTCTGAACCTGCTTGTGTTAGTCTGCAAACTGCGTAAATGGTAGACCCAAGGGGAGGAACAGAAAAGAGTATGGCCCGATGAGAGGAGTCTGAGAAAATCTTACATGCCTGGTGCTGGCATCTCTTCTTGTGGACATCCTGTGATTACCTGTCAGCAGTTCCCTCTCAGCTTAGTGCTTTTGTTAAGGTTCACATTCAGTTCTCAAAAATTAAATGTTGAACATGGGTCAATACTGATTAAAACCTAATCAAAAGTAATTAGTTACATTATTTTTTTAAAGTAATCGAAAAAGTTACACTACAATTACATTTTAAACAAGGTAACTTGTAACTGTAACGAATTACATTTTCAAAGTAACTTACCCAACACTGCTGGTAAGTTTAAATGCTTTTCAAAGTGGAAAAAAGTCCTAATTCCACATTGGTCAGAGCCAGTGATGCTTCAAACATTGATAAACAGCATCTAGTGTGTGTAGTGCTTATAAGATTTGAATTAATGTAGCAATAAATGCTGTTGTTCTCCTTAAACAAAATGTGCCCTGATGCTCACATTAAGCATAAAAAAGAACATATTTGTGCATAGGACCAATGACATCAGACCAATGAAACTGAAGACCAATAGCGTCCCTACCAAAGTTGAAATCAAACCTACGCCCTTGGAACAAAGAAAAATGTGTTTACGTAGTCTACTTTAATGTACTAATTCAAACATTTATGCATGTCTATAGACAGTTATCTTACCCCATATATATTCATATCGATAAAACTTATGCTTAAAACACAAACTGCCCATTTGTTGTTCTGTTCAGCTGCTTTATAAACGAACTACATTGAACTTGATACAGTTGATCATAATATTATTTTAGCAAGACTTGAATATTTTGTTGGAATTAAAAGAACTGTAGTAGACTGGTTTAAATCTAATCTATCTGATCGATTTCAGTTTGTTCACTTTAATGATACATCTTCCTCATGCTCAAAGGTTACCTGTGAAGTACCACAGGGATCAGTGCTAGGACCAATTCTCTCTACTATATATATATGCTCCCAATCAGTAGAATTATTAGACAGCATAGGATTAATTTACAGTTATGCTGATGATACCCAGCTATATCTGTCTATAAATCCAGATGAAGCTAACCCATTACATAGATTACAGGCATGTCTTGAAGACATCTGGATGACTCTTAACTTTCTGCTTCTGAATGCAGAAAAAACTGAAGTTATAGTCTTTGGACCAGAGTCTCTGAAAAAGAAACTGATTTCAGAAAATAAAGTAAAAAATCTTGGTGTTATTTTTGATCAGAATCTGTCATTTAAAT